AACGGACTGTTGCCAAATCATTCGTGCCCCAATAGGGTTCAGAGACAATCTAAATTTCGAATTTTGATCTCGTGAAGAACCTGCGAGACGCGCTCAGTTATTGTGATCGCAACACAAGAAATTGACATACTATCTTACATAAGTAATAATACAATAATAACAATATTCTCTGTAGTAGTTTGCAGTAAGTATCACATTACGCACGCGCAGGTAATCAAGTACAATAAACCCCTATCGGGGCACGCATGATTTGGAAACCGTCCGTTGCTAAATATTGGCGCACCGATAGCTTCTAATAATGTCTAAACAGCTCGCAACAAGTCACCATTTTAGCGGTAAATTTACCGAATTCAGCTCGTGCAAGATTACGATTTACAGCAATACGCTAGCAAATATATGTAAACGAATATCAGTACCATGAAGGTGAGTGATTAGTGGTCATAATAAGCTGAGGAACGTATACACTTGCTTCTTTATTGGTGGCAAATTTTGATGAGAAAAATCGGTTAAAAATGCGGGATCGCTTCTTTATTGGTGGCAAATTTTGATGAGAAAAATCGGTTAAAAATGCGGGAATCGGTTGTCTCACTCTTGTGTTATTATCTACTCTTGATATATATATATATGACAACCGCGGGTTGGATCTGTCGCAGCTAGTCTTGGCGCATGGCGCCGATGACTACGGCGATGCGACCGTCAGGGACATCACGTCGGTCCACTGTTAATCAGTGTCTGTCCGCAACATACGGCTATCAACGTCTCGTCACCGTAAATACGTGCCAACGAGCTGTGTGCGGGTGTGCAGGCATGCGGGCGTCTAACCCTCAATTATAGCGTACAAAGAGCCTCTTCGCCGAGGTTTGCCACCGTAATAGCTGCATGCCGCGACACGTCTTACCGCGCACAAACACGAGTCCTCCCCCTCTCCCCCTCCCTCCCTCGTTCATATCGACTCGATATTGTGGGTGGACCGAGGTGTTGATAATACCGCCAAACCTGTCGCCCGAAAAATATTGAATGTCGGAGCCTTTGCGGCGCAGAGACCACGCTCTCCTGACAGCTTAGTTTGGGGGGGGCTCGCGCAGACCTGCTGCCGAGATGCGGAGAGGCAGAGGAAGAAGCCAGAATGCACGAACATGTCAACTAATTGCCCGCAGGTGCCGCCGCGCCCATCCATCAACGTATATTTACGAGAGCGCGCGTACATCCATTAAGGACACGTGGAAAAAGTGGGAAAAAGAAATAACATAGGTGAAGAAAAATTGGTGAAAATGCTATTAAATAATATCGTAACATATTAGACGGTAAACATGGGGTGGGTTTATGTGGTAATTATAAACGCATCCACACACACGTGCGTGCGTACGTAACGTGGTGGAATAATGAGGCGATTTCACAGCTGTTTGGGTTCACTCATAATCGATCAACGCACGAGATGTGTACTCATCGCGCCAGAAGATACGTTCCCAGCGTGTCGGCAATTGTAATAATAGATTTCTCAATGTCACTTCACAATTTAATAACGGAGAGATGTATAGTCTACGTATGTATCTAGCTGTCACTGCCTTCACTTGTATATTGCTCCGTACTTTGTATATACACTTTGTATATTGCTCCGTGCAAAATTAATCGAGTGTCACATTTAGCCGAGAGAGAACGGCTGAGAGTTAGATAGGAGTGCGCATGTTAGGAGTGGAGTTGTTCCGATGTCAATTGACGCAAACAGTGTGCAGAAACATTACAGTATATTATTCATTCAGTATTATATAGCAGCCACGGTTATTCGATAAAGCTAGAAAGAATTCACTACTTGCATTCATTCCTTCGGCCGCATTACATAGATTGATATCATATGCGCCATCACTTACATTTCTGATTTACCGGAAATTCACCGTAACACAGATACGGAATTATAAACAGCCCCCCCCCCCTTAGACAGCGCAGTATTTGGTCAAATCTCACCCATACGCACAGACACTGCTTAACGATATTAGCTGCAACGTTTCTCAGAATCATGCCTGGAGTATAGTCATTCATCACACAGAAGTATTGGATTCGTGTGTGATCAATAAAAATTGTTGCGGCTGTGACCACCTGCATTATATGGACGAAGTTAGACAAAGAAAGGGGAAGTCAGGTTGTGACGAATGACTATAATAATAATCACAGCGTTATATCGCTGCGCAGGCAGGCATACTTAGTTACTAGCTACAGGCCAGAGAAAAGGGCAGGCAGCAAATTTACTTACCCAGGCAGAAACCGTAGCAGTAGAAAAACGCAGCAGTTCCGCTCCCCCGCCCCCCAACAGTACTGTCCTATTACCTCTGTCCATAAGGAAGCAGGTTTGGCCTTCTAGCCCTGTTTCCCCCATTCATTGTAAGTATAGTCACCCATGGTTAACCCAAGTTGCACAAATAATGAAGTATAGGCGGTAACGTAGGGGTAATGCGACGTCAGAAAAAAAACCCTCAACAATCGGTCTCGTTTCCATCAGAAGTTGCCTGTAACTTTAGTGCTTTTACATTGTTGTTTTTTAAGGAAATTCTTAGTTGCAAGTATTTGCTGCCGACATTAAGAGCAGGCAGAAAACTGACCATTGTGGATAGCAATACTGCTGCTTGCTGTCATTCATTTCGAATTGAAGAACTGACTGGAATATAAATTTACGCGGGCCTTCAGCATACAATTTATTCTGCTTTCTAGATTAACCCTTACATATTTTTGAATATATATATATGTATGCACACACACATACACACACACACACCACACACACGCGCGCGCGTTCAAAAATGTGTTAGGGGTTCAGCCTAGAAAGCCGAAAAAAAATTTGGTATGCTGAAGTATATATAATATATATATATATATATATATTATATATATCGAAAGTGAACATACACATTAATAGGTAAATAAAGCCATTGGGACATCAGGAGAAAGTCTATTATCAGACTATTAATAACGCACGAACAACGCATATAATCACTTCCCCGATCACTTTCCCTGATCATCTCAGCCCCACTTTCCCTGATAATCTCAGCCCGCCCACCTCTACTAGCAGCTGCCTGCGACAATACGGCAACCGGACGAACTTACAAGTCAACACGGCTGCGAACGCACTTCTGCGCAATAAAAGAGAAATAGGTCCCAATAGGCGAAGCATACGCGATACATAATAGGACAATTACAATGCAATATGCTCGGCCAAGCATCCAATTCTGTTTCTATTGATGCAATCCCCTCGTGACAGACATCCTGCCACCCACCCACACTCGCGCGCGCGCATATATCTTTAAATATCGCCGTGTTCCCTATTACTTCTCATAAACATCGTCTGGTGGGAAATGACACGGGAGAGATGACATCACCGCGCACGACAACATGGCTTCATCTCATGAATGGCGACGGCAGTAGATGCCATTGTAGATGCCAGAGCGTTCACATCTGCACCTCAGCTACCCACCTCCGCCTCCACGCCCTGATTAAAGCTACAACCCCCCCCCCGGGGGGGGGAGGCTCTACCCTCGCCAACTGGCACAGGGATGCACACCACGCGTAAATAATAATGTAAACAACAACGTAAATAATAAGGTAGATAATAATATAAAAAATATTATGAATAAAAGCGTAATTAATAATGTAAATAATGATGTAAATAATAATGTAAACAATAACGTAAATAATAAGGTAGATAATAATAATAAAAAAGTAAATCAAAGTGTAACTAATAATGTAAATAACAACGTAAATAATTGCGTTCGATCATCTCTACTGCCCGCCGGCTTCGCACATTTCATCCATAACTCTATTCTAATTCCATCTTCGCCTGCAGCTCTTTGGCTGAGCATGGGGTATTAACTCACAGCAGCTGCCGCAAGAAACAGGGCTGATTAACCGTATAGCCCCCCGTGCATTACCCTGCACCTACCTGTTTACGCTGCTTAATAAAGATGTATCAATCGTGCTCTATCGCCCAATCAGTGTCGTGATCGGTTGCTACCAAGCACGTCATTCGTGTTATTTGAGAACCTCGGCAAATGTTACGGTGTTTACTCTTCAATGCACGTGGCATGTATCGAGTTAACGCATAGGCAGATTCATTTACTTAATTAGTGCAGAGCCATTTACTAATTATTATACGAATTGCACTAATAATGACTGCTCGTTTGAGTATTATCACCAATTTCATGTATGGCAATATTTCAGTGACTATTACGCTACTAGTAATATGAGATTTAATTCTGCCACAATAAGTAAAAAATCGGTCCAGCATCAGTTGCAAGTTGTAGTAGAAGTTAATGGAATAATGCACAACTACGGGCATGGCACTAGTTTGTATCATCCTAATACCATCCTCAACAACTATGACCCTTATTCATTCCCACTCCTTCTACAGAGTTAAACACCACAGAGTGAACTCTTTGTATATCGCACCCACACACGTGTATGAAAACACTCTGCAAGGATGCACATGTAGTACATGTAGAGAGTACTACTCTAGAAGTACTGACTACTCCCTAGAAGTACACACTACTCTTATATGAAGAATAAGAAATGAAAAAGATGAAAAAGAAGAGAAGGAAGACGGTGATGATCGCGACGACCTTATGTAGAGCTTTCTTAAGCGTAAACTTACCCAAACCAAATCTAAAGCCGTCTGCGAACCTCGTACTCGCGTTGTGAAAGACGCACGCGCTGTCAACGCCTTTCGTGAACAAGGCCGCAGCTTCCTCTGTAACCATGGCAACGAGTCATTAGAATTGAATCATGGAACGAGAGACGCATCCCGACGACCCACGAAGCCGCTACGCGCGTTCACGCCAATCCTAGTGAAACCGCGTACATTTGCTGAATAGCTTTATGTATGTAACCCGTGTTAGCGCTACGGGCAGTCTACTGGTGTGCTCGTATGTGTATTTCTAGGTGCAGGCAACTGGCGTCAAAGCACGTGCTTTCTAGCAAAGGCATTACGGCCTGCAATGCCGTCACAATCGCGTTCGCATCTCTGCGTCTCTCTCCCGCCGTTCCATCTGAGTCGTCGTACTCTAGCTGTCATGAAGCGAGTCATCTCGCTTGAGTCGTCTTGCCTGCAACGTCACGACCGAGTCATCTCGCTTGAGTCGTCTCGCTCGAGTCTTCTCGCTCGAGTTGTCTCACTCGAGTTGTCTCGCTCGAGTTGTCTCGCTTGCATCGTGACAACTGAGTCGTCTCATTCACACTGTCACAACTGAGTTGTCTCGCTCGAGTCGTCACGATTGAGTCACCCCGTCTCGCGTCGTCGCAACCAAGTCTACGTCTCTCTCGCGTCATTTCATCCGAGTCGTCTTACTCTAGTTGTCATGAACCAAATTGTCTCGCTCGAGTCGTCTCGCTCGAGTCATCTCGCGCACAACGTCATGACCGAGTCACCTCGCTCAAGTCGTCGCGACCGGCCCGTCTCAAACGTCGAGTCACTCCGCCTCGCGTCGTCGCGACCGACCCGTCACTCCATCACTCCGCCTCGCGTCTCGCGCCTCGCGTCTCGCGCCTCGCGCCTCGTTCTCACCATCCTCGGTGACGATCGTCTCCGTGTGCGAGCTGCCGTACGTGTTGACGTGGTCGATCGCCTCGTCGACGGAGCCGACGACCTCAACCGCGCACTCGAGCGCGCCGTACTCGAGACGCAGCGAGCGCGCCGGCGACGGCCCGAACTTCAGCATGCGCGCCAGCCGCGGCCCAGCGTGGATGATCACCTGAGGGAAGCAAAGGATGACTGGTCGTTAGCAAGAGAGGGAGAGAAAGGGAGGTGAGAGAGAAGGGGAGAGAGAGGGGGAGAGAGAGGGGGAGCGAGAGAGGTGAGAAAGAGAGAGGGGGAAGTAAAGGTTGACCCGTTAGTGAATGAGCATTTTTTAGCAAGAGTGGGAGAGAGAGAGGTGAGAGAGAGAGAGAGTGGGAGAGGTGAGAGAGAGCTCAGAGGGGAGAGAGGGGGGTGAGAGAGTGGGGAGAGAAGGATAAGAGAGAGAGGAGAGGGGTGAGAGGGGAGGGAGAAAGGGGGATGAGGGAAAGGAGAGAGGGAGAGAAAGAAGGAGTGGGAGAGAGAGAGGTGAGAGAGAGAGAGAGTGGGAGAGGTGAGAGAGAGCTCAGAGGGGAGAGAGGGGGGTGAGAGAGTGGGGAGAGAAGGATAAGAGAGAGAGGAGAGGGGTGAGAGGGGAGGGAGAAAGGGGGATGAGGGAAAGGAGAGAGGGAGAGAAAGAAGGAGTGGGAGAGAGAGGGTAAGAGAGAGAGAGAGAGAGAGAGAGAGAGAGAGAGAGAGAGAGA